GTTTTGAAATCACCCTCAATCACAAAAGAATTAGTTCCTCATGAATAAATATGAGAACATCAGTGTATTATTCATAACAAATAATAATAAGAAAGAAGAAGAAAAACTTAGTGCAACTTGGTTGGATTAATGAATTTGATGATGATCTCCTCCAATTCTTCTTCTCCAAGCCTTCTTTAATCTCCCTTTTTCTTAGTTCTTGAATAATCTTTGTTCTCTCTTTTTTTATCTCCAAAAGAATCCTCTAAAATAATGCTAAAAGACTTCTATATATATCCCACAAGAGTTAGGGTTTTGTTTTCCTTAATTCTAGTTAGTTTAGGACTCTTAAAACCCTATTTTCCTAATAAAAAACGGAGAAAAAGTTCCCAGCTATTGTGACTATGTTGCGGCAGTATGTTGCGGCATAGTAGCTACTGGAAAAAGTGTGCCACGGCACAGTAGTTACAGGTCTTCTTCCCGCGTCATTCCACTATTCTTCAAAGATGGTGATTTGTGAACTCGATAACGATGAAATTTGAAAAAGTTGTAAACATATGAAATGTAGCCCTTTGAATCACATTTCTAACTGTTCAAGAATCATCTTAATCCGAGTTTTACAGATCAAGATATTATCAAAACACCGAAGCATGCTCAAGCTGGAACGTAATCTAGAATCTTCTCTTTACTTCAATTTCCATAACTTCTTCAATTCAACTCCGATTCTCGATCCATTTCTTTCTAGTCATCACAAATTCTCCCACCAACATCATCTCTCATCTGAATATTATTTTTGAGTCTTATTCCCAGAAAACACAACAAAAATACCCGTGATCCCTAAAAGTGCATTTATGAAACAATTAAGTTAATTCATGCGAATTAATCCTAATTTCCAGCAAATGATACCTATAAACCACTAAGTATAAGTGTATTTTCAAGCACTTATCATATATACAAAACTATACATAGTGTAAATAAATTTCTCAAGAAGCTCGACAGTGTTGCCTGACCCTTCCGCATCTTGACATTCCAAGCAACCGCATCTCATTTATTACCTGCAAAAACATTGAAAACAACGAGGTGAGCACTAATTGCTCAGTAAGTAAACCCGCTATGCTACCCTTCTATCTCCGTTGCTCATATTCTGAATTCTTTCCTTACATCACACTTCTATTTTCTTCTCTATTCTTTCTCTATTCTTTTTCTGTTCTATCTCTTTGTTCTTTCTCTATTCTTTTTCTGTTCTTTCTCTTTGTTCTTTCTCTATTCTTTTTCTGTTCTTTATCTCTGTTCTTTCTCTATTCTTTTTCTGTTCTATCACTCTGTTCTTTCTCTATTCTTGTTTCTCACTTACTAACATGTAAGCACAATTGGAGAAACTAATTCTAAATAATATGAATGCCATGAGGCATGTGCATAAATGCACAAAGAATGCAATTTCTTTTCTGTTTTGTATTTCTCTTCTTTCTTTCTATTCTGTCCTTTCTTTCTATGTTCTATTCTTTCTTTCTTTCTTTCTTTCTTTCTGTTCTGTTTTTTCTTTCTTTCTATTCTTTCTTTCTTACTATTCTTTCTTTCTATTCTTTCTTTCTTACTATTCTTTCTTTCTTTCTATGCTGATCGGACTCAGTTGAGGCATGGATTCGGAACCCTGGCTATGTGAGTGGGTACAGTCCTCATCTACATGCACTTCTATGGGACTGTACAACTTTTCTTTCTGATTCTGAGGCCGCTCACTAAAGGCGGCGTGTATGTGGGACTATTCTTCTCTATCACTCACAGGTTCCCCATCGCAACAACCTTCTTTTCTCTTATCTTTTTACAATTAATTCTTTTCTTTCTTTTTCTTTATTCTTTACTATTCTCATCCATGTGTATGTGCATGGAACTATGCTAATTCTTTTCTATTCTTTCTAAATGCAAATGTGAGAATGTGAGAATGCATTATGGCATATAAAAATANGGTGGACTTTGATATAAATATGAAAAATATTAATATTGAATTAATAATAAGTTAATAACTAATAAGTTTAATATGGAAAACAGTAAAAAATATGAAAAATGTAAAAAGCTGCTTCCATTTTCACGGGTGACCCATGGGTGACCCGCGTCCGCACGGGCGGGTACGGATCATGAAAATGTCGACCCGTGAGAATTTTTCACCCGTTAACCCGTGACCCGTTCCACCCGTGACCCGTTGCTACCCGGACCATACCCGCCCAACCCGCCCGTTTGCCAGGTCTAATTAGGGACCAAATTGGTAATTTAATCTTTATACATAGTTGGGGGCATGTTGGTAATTACACAATTAAAAGGGGGTATATAAATTGGTAATTGATGCCGTTGACATGACATATACTAATAAAACACATTTTCCAGTCAAACAGTTAGGGGTGTTTAACAGAATTTACTAACGGAACATGACGATTGGGTGGGAAAGTGTCATTAAGGCCAACCTTGCGTGGGAAAAAGTCCGTTTTTGCAGAGTCCAGGTTTGAGGTATTCAAGTGAGTTGAGATGAAGGCCATTGGGTTCAAAGTCCGAATGAAAGGACGATTTTACTCTGAACGAAAAATAAGCAACTACAATTGTTATTGAGGTATATAAATAAATTTAGTGAGGCTTAAATAACAACACTTGTATAATATGTTTTACTATAAATGTAATTTTTTCTACAACGAGGGATCGATATGAAGGGAAAAATCTAGGATGGCACCGGATATCACATCATCCATTCTATCAACCAATAATATTATGATATCTCATAATACTTTTCCCTCTTATCTATCTTTACATTAAACGTGATTGATATTATATACAATAATTACGTAACATTAATGCATTAATTTGTAACGTTAGCATACCCCTGTAGTATCATAAATTAGCTCGTAAAGTAAGATGTAAAGACGTAAGGGCTTGAATTCTTGATCATAATTGAGCTAAGATGCTCGGAAAGGCTAAGGGAATAATAATGACTAACAATAACAATAACAACATCATAATATTATTGTTTATAATAATAATAATAATTATTATTATTATTAGTAATGAACCTAATTTATATATATAGTTGAATACCCCCTTTGGTTGTTTGACACATGACACATTTTAGAAGTCATTTTGGGGCTGTAGAATTGTTTCATCTTGACACATTGGATTGACAGCTAGGATTTGTGGTTTAATGAGCCCAATCAAATTGTTTCATCTTGATATGTTGAGTTTGTATTTATTGCTCCATCTATAATTAATAATTAATAAAAATTATTGGATTTGTATTAATAATTAATAATAATAATAATATAGGTGCATTGCATTGATATTCCAAAGCTGCAACCATTTTGACGCATTGGATGTGCATTAATAACAAGTATACATGTGCATTGGATTGCTATTAATAATTTTGGTCTAATGACATCAGTCTAGAATTGCTATTAATAATTATATAGGTGCATTGTATTAACATTGCAAACTTTTCTTCATATTCAATTCATATTTAATTGTGTTGGCATTCGAAAGGTCTAAATAAGGGGTTATAAAAAGGGCGTATGTTCAGTTGTGTATTATCTATGGGTGGGATAATTCGGTTAACCGAACCAGATTAGCAAAACCAAAAATCGAACCGATTATTCGGTTTAGAGAAAATGCAAACCAAAAACCAAACCGATTTCAGTTATAAACCGGTTGTAAACCGAACCGAATATTCGGTTTGGTTTGGTTACCGGTTAACCCGTTTTCAAACCGGTTTTCAAATTAATACCTAAAAGTCTTCAATGTTTCATTTAAGTCCCTAAATGCAAATATTTATTATTTTATATATAATTTCATACTATTTTTCCCTTTTATTTTGGTATTATTGTTGTATTCTTTGTATGAAAAATACATTAAATTACTTATTAATAAACTCAAATACACATTACTCAATAGTCAATACTCATTAATAAACTCAAATACATAACATAAATTTAACCACATTTTCAATTACACATTACTCAATAGTCAATACTCATTAATAAACTCAAATACAAACATAAATTTAACCACATTTTCACAGCCTCGTTCTTTAGTTGCTTTTCCTCGGCATCATTGAAAACTTTCTCTTCCACTGCTTCAACTCTGAAATGGCAAGTTCCCACCTTGTTTAATAAATTCTAATTTCCACTCTTAAATTAACAGACAATTGATTAATATAACAGTAAAAGGTAGAATGATCCTTCCAAATTAAATATTCAAACTGAAAATGACCAGCCACCAGAACCACCCCATCACTACAAGAAATTTAAAATTTAGGGACGAAAATTTTCGTCACAAAAAGTGAAAAATTTGTCCTAAAACATAAGGCGAGACGACAGACCAAATCGTCCCCAAAGCCGCGTTGCCAAAGGGTAATGCCCACGAAAAAACGAATCGTCCCCAAAGCCACACCATTGGGGACAAAATACAGTTTCATCATTAAAGATTATTTATTTTGTGACGAAATTTTTTGTTCACAAAAAAATAATTATTCGTCCTAAATAATATTGTTTCGTCCCAAAAAAAAGCATAATTGGAGACAATTTTTTTTCGTCCTTATATGTGTGGTGAATTGCGGACAAAAATTTTCGTCCTTGATGGTGTGGTGAATTGAAGACGAGAATTTTCGTCCCTGATGGTATGGTGAATTGGGGACAAAAATTTTCGTCCTTGATGGTGGTGAATTGGGGATGAAAGTGTTCGTCCCTGATGGTGTTGTGAACTGGGGATGAAAATTTTCATCTTTGATGGTATGGTGAATTGGAGACAAAAATTTTCATCCTTGATTGTGTCAAGATTTAGAGATAAAATATTTTGTCCTTTCTTTATGATGAATTACGACAAGAATTTATTCCTGATTGAAAATTAACAAATGTATTGATTATCAAGGCCAAAAAATTCATACGAAACATCTTTTTAACTAAGTAAAAGATATTAATTAATGTCAAATTGATATTACTACAAATCAACAAATAACGAAGTAATAACAAAATATTATATATCCATACATGTATCATAAACACATCCAATTGTAACTAACATATAAACAAAAAAATATAAAATGTATCAGCCATTAGTATAAAATAACTACACTTTCTTTGTCAAGTAGATGTCAAAATATATACTATTTTCTTCACTACTTGGATGTCAAAAAAGGTACCACGCTTACAGGTTACAGGCAACACTTGAAGCTTCTAAGCTCTTGCTTTGCACCAGAAGATCTTTCAGCAGGTCTCTGCAGCAGGAATAACAATTGAAATCAGTATAGAAATAGTTTATAGAATCCAGATGAGCAAAGTGAAGTTTGTAGAAATAGTCAACTTCTATATATATTTTGTTAAATTTAAACCTTCAATTCCAAAGTTCGGAAAGAAACAGTACATACATTTCCAAAGTTAGGAAATAAACTAAACATATAACACTATCATACATACTTAACATATAAAAATATTCAAACTAATTAATCTCAATATATAACTTAATAAATAATAATAAAAAATACAAACGAATAAAAAAAACCCATCACAACATTCACCTACTTTTCCCTTTCCTTACATATACAACTATACCTTTCAAAAAACTACCAACTCCTCCACAATATAATCAAACCTTCTAATTAACTAGCCTATTTTATACCGCTTACTCATTCTAATTAAATACTCATTCACACCACACTCCACTCCCTCATTCTCTTTACATTCACATACACACCACACAAAATAATCCCACAAACTACAATATCACCTAAATATATCTTACTCCATTCTATTACTTTACTGACCATTCATAATCTATACAATCTATCTTTATACTACTCACTCACCTTTATACCTACATCACCTCTACTAATTATTCATTTATAACATCTACAATTTACTACTCTACCTATTATACCCACTCTTCTCTACTAATACTACCTCAACCACTAAAAAATGCCTCTACTAATACATATATATATAACACTAACACTAACTACTGACGCCAACATATAACCCAAAATACCTTATACTCACTAATAAAATCACATATCTCTACACATAAACAACTATACTCACACTATTACTCTCTAATTCCAATTAATACTCTCTTACCCACCTACTCTATCTCTACTCGCTCAACAATCTTATACCTCTCTATTCTTTTGCTAACACTTCCAAAGAACAAACATAAGCCAGAAGGCTATGTGGGCTAACTTCTGTGAGTGCAACAAAGAGAAGTAGCTCTTTGTGTTTATATAAACGGCCTAGTTTTCACAAGAAGAGAAATCGCATTGCTGTTTGTTTGTCCCAAGAAATGTATCACAAAATGACAATGTAAGTAAGAAACGAAGAAACTCTGAGAAAACATGCAAAGCCTCAAAAGAACTGTCTTCAAAACAAGAATTCATTTTTTGCATTTAACAAAAAACCATTAACTGCAAATAAAAAAAAAAAAAAAAAAAATCATCAAAAGCGCTAAAAGAAACCCACCAAACCTTGAACTTAACAATTCATTACACATTAATTAGCTAATTATTTACACAAACCTAATATAATCCAAACAACAAAAGAGTCAATCTCAACACAAACAAAACATCATAACAATTAATTTTTCAATCAACATAACACCCTAAACTACAAGAACAAGAAAAAAGATTAAATTAAAAACAAAAATAAACCCACCAGGATCGCACTGCTGGTAAAACTTCTCAAAATCTGCAAGAAACAACCCACCGAATTAAAATAAAAAAAAGAACCCATTTCGCAAAGAAAAAAAGGAACCCAAAAATTATATAAACAAACAAAGATTAAACCAGTAATTAAAGCCTTGATCAAGCCAGCTCGTCTGCCCTTGAAGTCGCCGAAAACTTCCTCCACAATTCTGGGTATTGGGTGCGGTATTCTCTCCATAAACACTTGTATAACAAAAATGGGTTTGTCGGTGTTGAAGAGAACAAGAAGAAGAGTCAAATGAAAAGAATTTTAAAAGAAAAGGTCTAAAAAACGCTTAATGTGGAAATTAGGGTTTTTGTTTGGGGGTTTGAATTGAAAAAATTGGGTTAAAAAAACACAATTTTGAAAGGAACCCGGAAGAGAAAAGATGGGAAAGAGAAAGTAGGAGACAATTTTGGGTTGAGATCGTGTAAAACTAAAAGGAGATAGATTGTGAGAAAGAGAATGGGTTAAAAAAACGCAATTTTGAAAGGAACCCGGAAGAGAAAAGATGGGAAAAAGAAAGTAGGAGACAATTTTGGGTTGAGATTGTGTAAAACTAAAAGGAGATAGATTGTGAGAAAGAGAAAGAATATATAAATAAATTGCACATAAGGGTTTATGTTTATTTGTGGTCCCGTACGTTTGGGGGTTATAATTAATTAATTAGTTGGATTTGTGGGTTTTGATTTGAGATTTTAATTTAATTACTTTTGTTAATTAATTATACGCAATTTTGGCCAATCAAAACAATAATTTCAAAACTTCTTGTGACCATTTTTGTGAATAATATTACTTACCATTATTATGTTGATATATATCTTGATAACATTATCGAACCATACATGATTTTAGATTATGATTTTAGAGTTTTCGAGAGAGGAAAACGTTACGTTGATACTAGTAACAGTAATATATTTATAAAAATTCATTATATATACAAGTTTTGCATGTAATATTATGGGATTTGTAAAAATTATACTATTCACCATTAATACTTCAATTCTCGTCACGTCTTTATCTAGAAATTTGAAATAACGATTAAACTTTGCAATATTTGTGAAACAAGAAATAAGGGTGTAGACGATAAAATCTACAGTTACAAATACGAGGGTTGGAGCTTGTGTTGTGACCCACTGCCAATCTGGTGGACCTGCAGGGAAGGTAATGAAGGCTGTCAGGGCTAAGGTGGCACCTAAGAGATGTCGGAATATTGCGGCGGCTTGACAGCTAGAATGCGACAGCTAATAGGTGATTTCTGAATGAATGATGAAAGGGCTTGCCTCTCTTTATATAGTGAACCCATGGGGCTGGAATCCTAGTAGGACTCCAAGTCCTACTTAGTAGAGGAGTTCTAATTTAGAAAGGAGATTAGATCCAATGCCTTTATTAGCCGAGGCTTCCCAATTTGGGTAGAATACGGGATCCTACAAGAAGTGAAAATTGAGTGGGATTCATCCAGAAATAATAACTTTCATTCCAGAATGATTTCCCCCCATATTATTTCATCCTTCCCTCCAAATGGCATTATTAATTAGATTTCCAAATTTCGTCCCTAAAAATACATTTTTCACAATTGAGGACAAAATCATATTTCGTTCCTAATAAGTTTCCAAATTTTGTATAATTAAAGACGAAAATTTTCGTCCTAGAAAAAACAAGTTTTTAGCATCAAAATGTTTCGTCCAGAAATAATACATTTCGTCCCAAAATAATTTCCCTCCATATTATTTGATCCTTCCCTCCAAATGAAATTGTTAATTACTTTTACAAATTTTATCCTTAAAAATGCATTTTTCAAAATCAGGGACAAAATCATATTCTGTCTCTAATAAGTTTCCAAATTTTGTACAATTAGTGACAAAAAATTTCATCCCAGAAAAAATAGGTTTTTAGCTACAAAATTGTTCATCCAAAAATAATAAATTTCGTCCCAGAATGATTTCCCTTCATATTATTTTCATCCTTCCCTCTAAATGGCATGGTTGGCGTGGGAGGAAAAATTGAACCCTAAGAATTTTGTGACAACATTACAATTTTGTCCCCTAAAATGACAATTCTGGGATCACCATGAGTTCCAAATTTCATCCCCAAAAAATTAATTTTCATAATCTATGACAAAATCACATTTTGTCCCTAATAAGTTTTCCAAATTTTGTGCAATTAGAGACAAAAACATTTGGTCCCAAAAGAAAAAGGTTTAGTTACAAAATTTTTCATCCACAAATAATAAATTTTGTTCCTAAAAATGTATTTTTATAATCAAGGGCAAAATCATATTTTGTCCCTAATAAGTTTTTCAAATTGTATACAATTAGAGACAAACAAATTCGTCCCAGAAAAGAAGGTGTTTAGCTACGAAATTTTTTGTCTAGAAATAATAAATTTCGTCCCAGAATGATTTCCCTCCATATTATTTTGATCCTTCCCTCCAAATGGCATTGTTGGCGTGGGGAAGATTGATTGCTAAACATTTTGTGACGAAATTATAATTTCTTCCCCTAAGATAACCATTTTGGGACAAAACTGACTTCGTCCCTAAATGTTAAATTTCTTGTAGTGCATGCAGCTATCACCACTGCCACAAACCACCACTAATTACGAACACTTCCAATCCAAATCAATAATCTATTAAACAATTTAATCACATAATACAAAATACATACTATCAATCAATCATCAAAGAAAAAAGAGAAAAAAGAAAAATGGGGAGGAAAGGAAAAAAAGTGAAATCCACCGTTCATAAGGGAGTTGCTTGGGAATTTTTACAAACAGGTAGAGTGCAAAAATTTACAAAGCTTCGATCATCCTCCCACGAATTCCATCAATCCCAGAAAACAAACTCAAAACACTTCCTAACCGATCCCAAACAATCTCCAAACAACACACAAACGATCTCCTTTCAAAATCTCAGCAAACAAAACTCTAATCTTGCTGAAAAAGCACAGTGCGAACAAATGGCAGAGACTGTGAAGATCGGAGCTTGGAAAGTGGAGTCTGCTCATGGTGGGACAGTGGCATGACTGGAGAGTGGAGTCTTCTGGGTGCTGGCGAACGTACGACGATCAGAGACTTTGAAGTGTGGACTGTGAAGATCGGAGCTTGGAGAGTAGAGTCTGCTCATGATGGGACAATGGCGTGACTGCTTGACTAGAGAGTGGAGTCTGCTGGGACCAGCTGGGTGTTGACGAACGTGCGAACTGCGAAGAAATGAAGAATAAAGATGGAGTGGTGACTGGACAGTGGAGTGACTGATGAAGATTGAAGAGTGGAGTACTGGAGTCAGCTCATGGTGTGGATGGAGGGAGTGTGCATTGTGCACTGTAGAAGATTGGAAGTGTGGAGATTTTGGAGGCAGAGAAGAGTCTGAAGAGAAATAGAGAAGAGTGAAATATTTGTTTGCTTATATAGTTAGGGTAAAACCAGTTTGGAATATTTTTCAAACTGAAAACTGAACCGGTTTTCCAGTTTTTTGAATTTTGCAAACCGAGCCGGTTTGTAAAAAAACCTAATTTTCGGTTTGGTTTCAGATCAGTTACCGGTTCGGTCTGGTTTTCAGATTATTTATCCCACCTCTAGTATTATCGCAATATGTTAGTTGGTGTCAACAATATGTCTGATCTTTTATTAATTGTTTATAGGTCTTGTTAGTTTGTGTCAATAATACGTTTGTTCTTCATGATTTTGTTAATCGATGATTTTTTATTTATTTATGTTTTTGTTGTCGTATACAGGTCACAGATTCATGAATTGGCATGGAATAAAGGTAGGATGTCCGATTGACATTGTCAAATGAGTTGTTATTTTGATTCATTCATAAAGGTAGGATGTCCGATTGACATCTTCAAATGAGTTGTTATTTTGATTTATTCTTCTGAACTGTAAGTATATCTTCTAATTTATTTAATACGAAACTGTAAGTATATCTCCTAACTATTTTAACGGTTATTATTTGATTGAATGATTGTTTTTGTTTGGTCAATCTATTTGAATGATTAATTGTGTTAGTCCTGCCGAATGGTAAGTGTGTTCCTTAACAATTTTAATATGAAGATTAATTAACTTTTCTTGATTTTGTTTCAGGTAACAGTTGTTATACGAATGAATAATTGTTCCCTAACAATCTTAACATGAAGATCGATTAAATTTTGTTATGTTTGTTTTCAAGGAAATGTTCATGTACTTTACTAAGATCAAATCGAGGATAATCATATTGTCTGCCGAACTGTGAGTATGCGTCGTATCTATATTAGTAGAAACAGTTCGTTTGTGTTGAATATGTTTTCTGTAAAAACATTCATGTATTTTAATTTGTTATATGCATGATTAATTGTTTATGTCTTGTTGATGCGAGTATATATGTTAAATGAATTAATTTTGGCTGATTCCATTTTCCAATTAATAGGTGTTATTTGAATTAATAGTTGGTTTTGTACCGTGGAATGATAAGTTTATTTCTTATTAGTCTTGATATGATAATCCCTTAAATTTGGGTCAATTTTGTCTTCTTGGAAAATATTTATGTCTATTAATGAAATAAAAATGAGGGTGTTTCTATGCCCTGCCGAACTGTGAGTATATGTCTTTAATGTGTCAAGCAATTAATTTTTGTCTGTATTGTTTATATGGAGTAACATATTGTGATATTTGTTGAGAGACAATTCCATGCTTTATATTGGTAAGGTGGAATTGATTTCCTTTGGGTTTATCAAAAAGGGAAACTAACATTTCATCTGTAAATAGTGCCGCTGCAAATGTGTGCTAGAGTTAGCACACCGAACCGATCTTGGAGTGGAAGAGGGCTGGAAATTGAGGACTTAGATATTTTATTGTTGTGGGTTTTTGGTTTTGATGAGCTGTTAAGATTGGTTCGATAAAATTTATTTGTAATATAGGAACACTTGGGATTGTGAAGTTGGATCATGTAAAGTTTTGTATCGTGTATATGTATTTCATGGGGGATTTGTTGTTTTCGATCTATTTTTATTTTGTTATTTTGTTTTGTTAGTGTTTGGTGTTTCATTTTTGGTTGATAATATTGTGTTCTATATATGATGTGAACGAATTAGAAATGCGAGTGATCACATCATGTTGATGGTTTGGCAGTGGAATTTTAAACTCAAGGATACGTTGATCTACCAGATTTCCAAGCACGCACCATCTGATTAGTCACGTTTCTACTTTGTTATAACTTTTTTAGGAAGAACTGATACAGTGGATGTGTGACCATTATCCATTATCATACTTGTTCAACGTGTGCTTCGGTTCCCACCACAAGATCATCGATTTGCTTATAGAATGGTAATATCCTTTGAACTTTGCCTGTAGAATGGTAATATCCTTTGAACTTGTGTCAATAAGATTTTATTCTTCGATTTGCCTATAGAATGGTAATAAGACGTTTGTTGAACAAACCTTTATCCTATTATTATTAGTTGAATGATTAACCATTTTGTATAAATGTTGTTTACATGTTTAACAACTTATTGAATCTATCCTTATAATGTTTTTCCAAAAAGATTTTATTCTTCTTAAATCAACGTGTTATTCATTTCAAAATCTCACTGCTCAATACTTAATC